CCCCCCCCCCAGCCAATGTTGTTATTCATAAAAGCAGCCACACCGCTTCCAGAACTCCTGCGGCCACTTTTGCTGGTGGTCCCACTCCCTGGCCGAGGCACTGGTGTTCCTACCTGCCCCCCTGCTAAACAGGGAGTGAGGCCAGACAGGGGATGCATGTGCACCCCCTACGTCACCCCGGTACCACAATTACAACATGGTCAGAGAATCCCTTTAGACCATGGCTGTGACCCTCATGTTATTAAAACAGGTTCCATTGCATAATGCAGTTATGAGTTTAAATGTATTAGAATGTGACCAAAGCTTTAGTCTGTTCACAAATGTTCTAGTCCAGTCCACACTTCACACTAGAAACCTGTTGTAACCTATTCCTGATTGTTATAATTCTAGATTGGATGGACCCTATAGTTCACTGCTGTTCAACCTTTCTGGACTCAAGGCACCTCAGAAAATGCCACTGCTTAGCTTTCATTTGTGCTTTGCTTACAAAAAAAAAGAATAGATCTATTCTTCTGTTGAACAAATTATTTATAAAAGTTCATTCAAGTATTTTAAAATGCAAACAACTCTTACCTGTCCGTTCCTCCAACTTTGCATACTTTGGGGTATTACACATATTACATTCTGATCTTCTGGCCCAATTCACATTACCACAACTCCAGAGGGGGAAAAAAAAGAGAACATAAGTATAGAATACCATATTCCTATTACAAGTTTAAGGGGTTGAAAACTAGGCAACATTGCAGGATAAAAAATAAAACAAGCAAAAATGAAACCTAAAATTTTCAATAAGAAACTTAAGTTGAATTAAAATAAGTTTCCCATGTTTTTAGTTCACTACATTAAATGGAGCTCCATATAAGTAATATTTAATGTTGTAGCACTTCAGCACATAAAGAAGTCTTTGGGAATTCTGCCAGCATGTGGACACAGTAGTGAATCCAAAGTGCCCCAAGGGTGGCATAGTTATAAAATCCACAAAAGTCAAAAAAGCAAGTCATTTAATAGTAGTAAGATTGGTCTCATATGATTAAATAACGTCATTTTACCTGTAACAGCCTCCAGTATCCCTTATATATAAAGAAAGAGTGCTTAGATAATAAAATGGCCATAGAGGTTGAAGAGTAAAGAAAGGCAGAAAAAGCAGCACAACATGGAGAAGGAGAATTAGAGGAGTATGGGTGATATCTGATAGGCACAAAGGGGCAAATGTCACTTGTAAAGTGCACATTTACTTAAAACAAAGTAAAATTCAACATTTTCTAGAGACGGAAAAAAATGTCTACTGGTTATATGAACAAACTGAAGAAAAAACAAATGCCTACATAACAGTCATCCCTTGAGGACAGAATGACTACAGAACTCAATTTGTTTCAAATGCTCCCTGGATATAGCCTTTTGTATAGGGGAGGAGTAAAAAAACCCTTTGAAAACAGGGCAATGTAGCATTTAATATTTTTCAAAGAAACTGAAGTAAAATTTGATAGTTACTGAATTTCCCTTTCTTTTACTTTGGAAGTGGCATGTACAGGACTGAAAAGGAAGACTAATGGTCACAGAGCAAATCCACAGCTTTCAAGTTTTCGAAAATACTCTACAGTCACTACATTTCTAATGTCTGGAGTAAAGTGAGAGAGCTCAGAAACATTTATGCCAGTGATTCTGACCTATGCTTGAACACATACACACAAAAATATCAGTTTGTGCTGTTCTAGTCCTCTCTCACCAGCAAATAAACCTATCTGCCTCAAGGTGAAGGAGATTGAAGACAGAATGCTAGCAAAATGAACAAAGCTTTCAAAGGTTTAAAAAAAAAAAAAGAGACAACTGGAGACTGTCCTATTTTCTTGAGTACACACACCACACAACTCTTAGCGGCCTTACTTGGAGCCCAAATTCTTAGATAAGAAATATTTTGCATATTCAATTATTCCAAGTCTACCAAATACTTGGACTGGTCTACATTTCAATTTTATGACATACGCAGGTTCCCGTAATTGCATACAGAATGTTTTTGTTTACTTATTGTAATTAACTTTCACTGGGTTAATACTTCTCTGGGTTACATACAGCAAATGGGTGGACTCAGGAAGCCTAGGCTCAGTAAATGGGTGGATGAGAACCTGATGATGTTTAACGCCGAAAAATGCAAGGTTCTCCACCTTAGAAGGAAAAACCTGCAGCATGCTTATAGGCTCAGCAGTGCTACGCTTGTTAGCACTACAGACGAAAGGGACTTGGGGGTCATGACTGACCACAAGATGAACATGAGCCTTCAGTGTGATACTGCAGCTAGTAAAGCAAGCAAAACGCTGGCTTGCATCCACAGGTGACTTCTCAAGCAAATCCCAGTACGTCATTCTCCCATTGTACTCGGCCTTGGTGAAGCCGCAGCTGGAGTACAGCGTCTAGTTTTGGGCTCCACAATTCAAGAAAGATGTGGAGAACCTTGAGAGAGTGCAGAGGAGAGCCATGCGCCTGATCAGAGGTCAGGAAAACAGACCTTATTATAAGAGGCTGAGAGCCATGGAAAACTTCAGCCTGGAAAAGCACAGGCTCAGGGGTATTCTGGTGGCCACCCATAAGTTTATCAGGGGTGGTCACCAGGATCTGGGGGAACATCTGTTCACCAGAGCGCCCCAAGGGATGATGAGGTCGAACAGTCACAAATTCCTCCATGACTGTTTCAGGCTGGACATAAGGAAGAACTTCTTTATTGTCCAAGCCCCCAAGGTTTGGAATAGACTGCTGCCAAAGGTGGTTCAAGCACCTACTTTGACTGCCTTTAAGAGACATTTGGATGTTTATCTTGCTGGGATCCTATGATCCCTGCTGACTTTCTGCCCCAGGGACAGGGGGCTGGACTCGATGATCTTCCAAGGTCCCTTGCAGCCCTAGTATCTATGAATCTATGAAATGGGAATCAAAAGTAGTAACGAGGTTTCACAGGCTGTAAAAATCATCTACACTGTAAAAACTGAATCAAAATTAAGTGTGGTCCAACGCACCTTTGTAAAAACACTTTCAGAAAAAATTAAATGGTTGAAATTTTAAACATGACTATTTTGGGGGAGAAATAGCTCTGAATTTATCTGTATTCAACACTTATTTTTCCACACCTTCCAAATATTTAATAATGCTTCAGAAAACTATAATAAAGTATGTTTTATCCCCATCTCTTAGTTAGAAAAAAAACCCATTCACATATGGCAGGCTTTAGCAGTGAACTAACTGTCCTACAGCCAAACAGACAGTTTGAGGCAGGCTGGCAAGAAAAACTTTGAATCTTATGCTTGACTACAAATTCATGCTGTCTTTAGAAAGAGGTATTTATTAAATATTGGTTGATCCACAGACAAATTTAAAATGAATGCTAATGATAAACCATACAAAACACTTAAAAATCACTTATAATTGAGGGCTCCAATTTCTCTTTCCTAATCAGTAAAGGCCACAGCTATTTGATTCCATCAGCAACATAATGCAAGATACCATTATCTTTAATCCAGTGAATCACATGCGCACTACAGATTATTTTACTATTTTAAATTAGGCTTACGTTTTACACTGCCAGTCATTTGCACTGAAAAGGCCACGGCTTTTCTCAGCAAGTGTCTTCCCTATTTCAGTCCCACCAGCTTTCATCATCTTGGCTTCGGTTGTTTTTTCTGAAAGTAGATTTAAAAATAGTTTTCAATAAATCAATTTCTTATAGATTTAGTTTTTCATTCATGTTGGGGGGAATGAGGGGAAGAGGAGGAGTCTATTCAGGAAAGATAGTCACCTCGACCACATCTGTTACAGCTTGTTCTTCTAGCAAAGTTAACATTTCCACACCTGAAACAAAGGAAATATATTTGCGTGAAATATATCTCAACACATCTGTTTTTTTTTTTAACACAGGAAAAGGACGGAAGTAGTAATCAATGTTTGGAAAACATTTAAGAATATAGCATTATAGAGTTTTCTTTTTCTTGCAACATGAGTAAGCTGTGCCTGGCTCCCTCTGATCAAAGAATGTCAGTTTGTCTGACTTTATCCCAATTACATAGGTGGTCCAATAAAAGATACCACTCTAAGAGATCCTTGCCTTCTGCAATCTGAATAATTTCATTCTGTACTAGCATGCGAGTTTCCCTAACTTGAAAGATCTTAATGTTAATAAACTTAATTCTTGTAGTTAAAGTAGAATTACTGCATAAACTACCTGTGAACACTTTATCTTGGCAAGAGTCAGAATGTTATTTTCTAAACTGATGGAAAATTAGCTTAAATAGTGTATTTAGGTTTTTTTGTTGCAAAAAAAACAAAAACCAGAAAAAAATTCCAATGCATTAACAATTTTATTTTTGTCCACTTTCACAGTAGTAACACTGAATAACTGTAAACATCTAGCATGAGTCATTGTTTTTTCTTTAATATGTTGATTTAGATACCTATATAACTCTTTAAATATAAATCTCAAACACTGAGCAATTCTCAAGAACTATAAAAAGGACTGAAGAGCTTCCATGTTTCATAGTAGAAATTTACTTCCATATAGGGGTACACCAATATAGATTTTGGGGACCAATACCGATAGCCGATTTTTAAGCGATCAGCGATCTAGATGATGGGGTGGAAAGTAACCTGTTT